GGCTCCCGCCCCGCATACCTGCAGGGAAGAAGGTAGGGGGTTAGCGGGGCTCTGCACCCCCTCAGGCCCACCCCCACCCCAGCATCACGGCCACCTCCCAAGTCCATACCAGACAGGCTTGGCACGGTTGATGGTGGTGCGGAGCCGGGGTTTGACGTAGTCATAGTAGCCCTGGTTCTTGTGCTCCTCCTGACACCACACCAACTCAGCAGTCGGGTATTTCTGGGCTTCCCGCTGCAGGAGGTCGAAGGGGAACGGGGAGAGCTGTGGGGAAAACGGAAGGGCGTCACAGTGACATCACAGGGGCCATGGCACGCCCAGTCTGCAGGCTCGGAGGCGGCTGGACCCTGCTCACCTGCTCCACCCTGGTGATGGCCACGTCGGCCTCCATCTGCCGGGCCTTGCGCTCACGGGTCAGGTCGTAGTAGACCTTGCCGGTGCAGAACAGCACCCGCTTTACCTGCTCGGGGCTCTGGGCCACGGGGCCACTGTCAGGGATGACGCGGAGGAAATGGGTGCCTGCCAAGGGAAAGGATGGCACCATCACCCACAGCAGCTTGGGGCACCACGCTGTCAGCTGCCTGCACCCATATCCAGTGCCAGACCCTCCTGGGATGCCAGCCTGGGCAGGCAAACTGGAGAGGCAGAGCCAGACCAGCTGGTACTGGGTTCATCTCCCAGTACAAACCATCGTGGCTCTGTGAGACTTGGGGCTGCCAAAGCCTGGCCGCGCCGCTCCAGCAAAAAGCGGCTGGTGTTGGAGGAAGTGCCACAGCAAAGCTGCGTCACATCTCTCTGGGGTACCAGACTTGGCACTAACAAGGGGTGGCTCCAATTTGCTGGGTAGATGGCCACAGCCGGCACACCCGGCTGCGGCTGGGGTGAGCACACCGTCTCGGCGCTAGCAGGGAGGGAGGAAGGCAGTGCGCGTGCCATGCTGACACAGAGCTCCCTGCACAGGCTGTCTGCGATGTCCCGATGCCGGTGGCGTCAGCCTCTCTTGGCCATTCTTTGGTGTGGGGAGGCTGCCGCCAGGCAGACTTTACCCCAGGCAGCCAGCTCCTGCCCTTCACCTTCATCCCGCAGAATGGCACGAAGGGGAAACAGACACCGCTGCACTACTCATACCTGGCAGCATGTCGTCGAAGCTCGAGCGGGCTTCAGGGTGGCGCAGCAGCGACTTTGGAGTGAAGATTATCAGCTGGAGGAGGGGAGAAGAGGCAGAACAAGGCAGTCAGCCTTGCCAGAAACAATTCCCCTGCAAGCAAAGGCCGGAGTGCCGACCTTGCCCGTCCTGCCTGCCCTCCCCTGCCTGAGCACAGGAGCAGCCATGAAAGATTTGCTCCGCTCGGCTGCCATGCTCTGCCAGATTGGGCATCAGTTTCTTGACAGCACCAGTTTTCTCAGCCTGGGTTTCCCCTGGGGAAGAGGCTGAGGTGTTCCCGGGGACCTGCCTGCCCCATGGCTGGAGCTGAAAGCAAGTGGCTGGACCTGGTTATTTACTGATGCTCACTGGCCCCAGCATCTCTGACCTCCCTGTGGAGCACAGGAAGGGGTTTGCTACCAGTCCAGTCTGCACAAGCCAGCCAGCAGCATGTCATGTACCAAGCCAGCCCTGACCACCAAGAGGTCCTTGGCCGCGGCAGAGGCAAACCGCCTGTGTTTGCTGCTGAGGTGCAAGAACAAGCCCGCCCTGAGTCCCGTCCCCAGGCTTGGCAGGGATCTGGGGCTGCCCTGCCTTGGCACCGAGCTGGGCAAGGAGCTGCTGGCACTGACCGGTTTGCGGAAGGGCAGGAGGATCTGGCGCCGGAGGACGTGGAAGAAGTTGGCCGGAGTGGAGCAATTCACGACAATCCAGTTGCAGTCATAGAGCTGGCGCACATCGAAGTCATCCAGCTTCTGCCTCAGTGAGCGCGGTCGTGGGGATTTCAAGAAACACAAGATGCCTCTTGGCCTTGCAGCTCCAGCAGCGGGGAGGAGAGCAGCATCCATCCCTCCTTCCTTTCCCCCTCCAGAGCACATGGAGACCCACAGAGACCTGGGACAGGCTGCAGGTCTGTGCCCCCCACCTTGGGGCAGCCACAAGGGTGGCAAGCAGCCCCCTCCCACACCACTTTTGGGGACACCTCTGCCTTGCACTGTGCAGCAGCCCCAGGGGTGCAGCCTGGGCACTGGGTTCAGCCCCTTTCCCCAAGTCCTCCCAGCTCCAGCATGAGCCCAGGGCATCCCATGCCTCCTGCTACCAGCTCCGCAACAGCCACCCCGACCACAGCATTGCACTGAGCCCACCCGGGTGTTATTGCCCCCTCCCCATTTCAAGGCAGTGGTCGGATCCAGGACACAGGAGGGCTGGGCTGAACTCAGTGCGGCCACCACTCACGGGGAAGACATCGGGATCGTCGTTGCACATCTGCAAGAATCGCTCTGGGCGGGCGGAGGAGTGCTCAGGACCCTGTGGGGAGCAAACGGGGGAGTGAGTGGGGAGCAAGGCTGGCACAAAAAGCCGATGCCGGGCATGGCCACACTGTGAGCAGTGCAACCTGCTGCTGCTGCCCTTGGCCCTGCTTCTGGTGCAGGCCAGGCAATGGGCACCCCTGGGTGCCTGCAAGCTGGGGGGTCCTTACCATGCCCTCCATGCCATGGGGAAGCAGCAGGACGATGCCGTTCTGCCTGACCCACTTGGCCTGCCCAGGACAGATGAACTGGTCGATTATGCACTGAGCGGTGTTGTGGAAGTCCCCGAACTGGGCTTCCCAAAGCACCAGGGCATTGGGGCTCGCCATGGCGAAGCCCAGCTCGAATCCTGAGGGATGAGAGAGAAGCAAGGGGGTTATCCTCCCAGAGTGGCCTCAGCCCGGCTGGGTGGTGGGTACAGACCTCCTCACTCACCAAGGACGCCGTACTCCGACAGAGAACTGTTGCAGACAGTGTAAGGAGCCTGGTTGGGCCAGAGGTGGTTCATGGGGATACACGTCCTCTTGTCCACATTCTGATCATGCAGGACGTGATGGCGATGGCTGGAAGAGGGGAAAGTGGTACTCTATCATCACAGTTCAGAACGCTTCTGGAAAGGCCAGCCTTTATGGCCACCAAAAGCATAGCTTTACCTGAACGTCCCCCTCTCAACGTCCTGGCCACTCAGGCGGATATGGATGCCCTCTTTGAGCAGGGAGCCAAACGCCATGTACTCTGCCAGGGCCCAGTCCACTGTCCGGTTCTTCACCATCTCCCCGCGGGTTTTCAGAATACGGCTCAAACCTACAGGAACAGAAGCCAGTTTGTAGCCAGCATGGGAGGGAGCTCCAGCGACACAGTGTTTGTTCCACAGCCTGCCCACAGACTGACAGACCACAAATGCCCTGGGGCAGACAAACAGATCCACTTCTGCTGGAGGGATGAACCAGGGACAAGGAATCAGGACTGCAGGGAAGGATCAGCTCCAAAGAAGAGCTACTCCTCAGTTCACTTCCCTTAACCACAGCTCCCTCATGAACTAATTCATGTAGACTCATGTAAGAGTTTGGGTTGGAAGGGACCTTCGAAGATCATCTAGTCCAGCCCGCCCTGCCATGAGGCAGTGACATCTTCAACTAAATCACATTGCTCAGAGCCCCATCCAGCCTGATCTGGAACGTTTCCAATGATGGGGCATCCACAGCTCCTGTGGGCAACCTGTCCCAGTGTCTCACCACCTACAGCATAACCCCTTCTCCTATCACTACAGACCCTGGTAAAAGGTCTATCTGCGCCTTTCTTATAAGCCCCTTTTATATACTGAAAGGCCACAGGAAGGGCTCCCTGGGGCCTTCTCTTCTCCAGGCTGAAAAATTCCAACTCTCTCAGCCTTTCTGCACAGCAGAGGTGTTCCAGCCCTGGGATGATTTCTGTGGCCTCCTCTGGACCCACTCCAACAGACACTCCATGTCTTTCTTGCACTGGGGACCCCAGAGCTGGACGCAGTGCTCCAGGTGGGGTCTCAGGAGAATGGAGTAGAGGGCAAGAAACCCTTCTCTTGACCTGGTGGCCACACATATCAAAGCACCATAACAAGTCCCTTCTTTCCAGGCTACGTTCCATCCCTATCCCATATCTTCTCTAGAACAAATGCCTAGTCTGGCATAGCTTCCACAAGCACCTACCTCCATGGATAGTGAAATCCTCCACAGGCACTGAGCTGGCCACTTGACCAATGTGCGTCAAGTCCTCTTCGTTCAGACCAGTGGAAGGGCAGGTCATGCTCCGGGGCTGGCCATCCAGAGTGAAGAAACCTGCAGGAGGAGGAGCAGTCCACTGTCTTGTGAGAGCCATGCCCAGCTCTGTGTGAAGAGCTCAGGCCATGGACACCCTCAAGCAAGGGTGGGGATGACAGCAGTGGAGAGCACCACCTCACCTCCCCAACAGGCATATTTACTAGAAAATAGCTGCCACAGCTCTAAAGAAGCCAGGCTTTTTGCTAGGGACCTCCAAAACATTGCTAGTGACTTACCAGGCCAGGGTGAGTCCAGCCAGTGCTTGATGTGCAAGATCTTTTCATCCTTTGATCTCGCATGGGCCTCCTCACAGATCTTATCATACTTGGCAATTTCCTCCTGAAAGGCAGAACCAGGAGGTGGAAGAGCATTAGTGAGGGGTCTCCAAACAAGGGTGCCAAGCCTGGGGGCCTCAGCATGAGCTTGCAAGGGTGCTGGAAGGCACAGCTGGTCCCCACAGCAGGGGAGGCACTCTAGGGCCACACAGGTCAGCCTTAGAGAGCAGAGCTGCTGCTGGAGGCCCCTGTCCCCCAAGGGACAGCTCGGCTGCCACCTGAACTGACAACTCGCCTTCAACCCTAAAGACATTGCAAAGTGGTACCAGGTCAAGGAAGAGCCGGCAGAGCTGCTGCTACACTTGCCACCAGGGTGGCAGAGCCAGGGCAGGGGACCTGCCCCCGATACCCCCAGGCCACAGTGAGCCCAAGTGCTGCAGAGTCCAATTCTCCTATGGGTCCCAGCTGTGCTGCAGTGTCCCAGTGCTGTGTGGCCTGTGCTGCACAGATCACAGGGCAATCCTTGAACTAGATGTTCCTATGCTTTCAGAGCTGACACAGTCCAAGGACGAGCCTTGGCTCCTAACCCTGTCGCTGCCAGGTCTGCAGTGCTCACCCAACCCTAGCACAGCTCTGCCACCTTTAGGTGACAAGCTAAGCAGAAGTGGGCCCTGTCACATCGCTCACATCCAGGTCTGAACCAAACAAGTAGTTTTCCCTGGACATGCTATCCGCAGTTTTCCTCCCAGACCCCAAGGGACAGTACCTCATACTCTGGCTGATTTACCACCCCCTGGGAAATCAGCAGCTCTGCATATTTCTGCAGCACTGGCTTTTGTTTCCGGATCTGTTTGTACATCAGGGGTTGCGTGAACATGGGTTCGTCCATCTCGTTGTGACCGTTGCGCCTGTAACAAACCTGCCAGGAAGGGAAAAGAGCCTTTGAAAGCTGCTGCTTGCAACCTGTGTCTCCAAAAGTGGTTGGAGGTACCTGGGTGCTTGGAAGGGTCCGAAACAGCCCAGGAGGGACCCAAGTGTGTCCTGCCCAACACGAGAGGCGAGGACAGGCTCCATACAGAGACATCTCCAGTGACACCTCTACAGTGTCACCTCTCCAAGTGCTATTACAGACTCGTTACCTTGCTTTACACCACCTCCTCCCTCTCCTCGCATCAAAAGGGCCAGACAAGACCTGAAGAGAAACTTCAGCTTTCAGAAAATACAACCCAAGAGGTATCGGTGAGCATCCACAACAGAGACACATATTTAGGATAGAGCCTTGTGCCACATTTCTTACCAAATCCACCACCACATCCTTGTGGAAGGTGCTTCGCCACTCTGCTGCCACATTGCACACATAGACAACAGCCTCCGGGTCATCCGCGTTGACATGGAAAATGGGCGCGTTCACCACACGGGCGACATCAGTAGGGTATGGGGAGGAGCGAGCCATCCGGGGGTCTGTTGTGAAGCCGATCTGTTGCGAGTGAGAGGGAACAGGACCAGCGCAGTGGATTTGGAATGTGGCACATGCAGCTTCGGGGGCAGCTCGGCTGCTGTGGCTGAGCTGGAGGTCCCCCCACAGCTGCGCCACTCAGCTGTAGCACAACCTGACCAACCTCCTGCACCCTGGGCACTGCAGCCCATCCTGGTCCTGGCACCTGGGCTGTCATCCCACTGCACCCACGGGGATGGGCTGGTCCCATTCAAACGTCTCTGGTTTATGTGGGGGCAGAATGGAGCAGCCTTGCCTGATCTCACACGCCGAGCATCAGGTCGTGCCACCTCTGCACCAGGCTGGGCTCAAAAGCTGCTACTGTTGAGCAGCTGGGTATAACGTACCCCCTGCTAACCCCAGAATTACGGCTTACGCCACAAACATTGGCTGGGAAACAGCTACTGCTGGCTGCCAGCTACCATCCAGACCCGAGCCTGCAGAGGGTCTGTTCCGCAAGGGACCCCCACAGACGCAGGGGAATTACTCCTCACCTGGTTGTTCACCACGACATGGACAGTGCCATGGGTGGTGTAGGAAGGCAGGTCGCTCAAGTGGAACGTCTCATACACAATGCCCTGCCCAGCGAAAGCGGCATCTCCGTGCAGGAGGATGGACATCACCTGGGAGACATGAAGCCACAGTGGTCAGCAAGGGCTCTGCGGGGATGGTGGGCAGGGGCAGCCACCAGGAAAGGGCCCGAATCTCATCCCTGTGAGCTTTTGGCATCCCAGAAAGGACATGGACCAGCTTGTCAACGCATCCAATGCTTTATCAGGGGACCAGAGAGCTGTGGAGCCAGCCACAGCTGGCACAACTGCTGGGGTGAAGACTGCAGCCAGCAGTTCTCCAAGCAAGGGCAGCACACTCAGGGTGCCTTGATGGGGCAGCGGGATGGCAGCCAGCATCAGCGGCTGGGAGGCAAGTCCCATTCCCAAACGCACACATCCCAAAGCAAAGCGTTTTTCTAACGGGGGGGTGTGTGTGAGAAAAATGCCCCTTTCCCCCACACACTTTCACCCCAGAAGACCTTTGGGCAGGAACCAGGCCAGGAGCTCACTCCGGCTTTGGTGACGTTCCGGTCTTGTTCAATATATTTATCCATGATCTGGATGAGGGGATCGAGT